GCTCGATCCTCGGACCTATCGGTCCTGAGTCCCGCGCCCTAGCCATCGAGCATCCGTGGAAAGCACGATATGACCGATACGGTCAAAGCAGAAACCTAGGCATATAGAGCAGTTCGTGAAAAAATGGCGTCCGATTCAGTGAAAGCAACTTCGAATACTTGGTAGGCTGTTTCAGCAGCGAGGACAAAGGCAAAGCCAGTGAAGACAGCGAGAAATTTGTTGAGTTATACCCAAGAAATCAAATGTCTTGGATCCATCCTTAAAAACAACAGGGAAATCGAAAATAAAACGTTCTGCATAGACGCCGCCACTACCAGGCTAGTCATGAGTACTACAGAAGACAAGCGTAGGCTTAAAATTTTTGAATCATAAAAAATTAAATTAATGTCAGCAATCTGAAGCAAACGGACTTATGCTTCAATAATAGACCATAAAATTTAAAGTTTTTCCAGTATTTCGGTAGGTTTACACCTGAGCAGATATTTTTAAACGTTCAGTAATGCATTTTTTAGTCCGGACCCTTGTTTATCCAGCCATGCTCAGAAGCCTGGTCTAATCGAACTGCTATTTTGTACATGCATCCTCTATCCTCTCTTGCTATGTTATCGTTTCGTTTTGTTGTTTTCTTTTCGTTGTGTATCGCTTTTGTACTTCATCTTGTGAAGGATCCGTGGTTCCACCCGACCATAGCAAAACAATTTCACTTGACGTTGTTCATGCACTTGGCGTCGAGAGACAATGCGAGTAGCGTCCTGAGACGCGACTGAAAGAACGAAGTAGTTCGCTCATGGGAGTACTTGATCGAAAAGCACTCTTGCCCACTGTTATACTTGCATGTTGATCGCAAAACGCTTGATGATTCTTGATTGACAAACTACCGCCTTCCTCAATTTGTCACCTAAGCCACACCTCAATCTCGACAACTCCAATTAACGTCCCAATCGCAGCGGTAGGGACCCACGACCTCCATTTTTTACGCGCTTCGAGACGGCAATTACGATCGGTGTTTTACAAGCACTTATACTTCCGTGATTACAGAAGGAGACCGCGGCAACCGGTCAGCCAAGTGGAAACACCGAAGCACTCTGAACGGCGCCGTTTTGCCAGTTACTGGCAACGCCGGCTTCAAGTCGACTGCAGCCGAAAGAAAACATTTCTTTCCTTTGTGATCGGCTACAGAAAAAGTGACACTTCGACTTGTCACACAGACATTAGTTTAGTTTTTTGTGACTTCTGAAAGGTCTGTTTCAAAATAAATGAAAGTTTTTAGCGAATGTAAGTTGGAACACCATTGATTTCTATCCATTAACATAACGGGAGTGCAGTGGAAGACACTAAGCTACGGATCAGGAGCAACGGTTTAAGATTTAACCGTCAGAAAAGTGCCCAACTCACCTGCCGGAGGAAGAACATCAGATCGTTCGATCTATTCTACCTCATCTACCTCTGCTCTGCCTCATCATTGTATCACCTAAGAAGAGGAATTAATCCCGGCTTGCGACACCACGAAATACCTTGGGATCAAACTAAACAGTAGACTGGTCTGATCTGACCATATGATCTCAGTGTTTGCAAAGGTTCGTAAGTCATCTTATTATCCATTGAGGTTAATCAGACTACCTGTATTTCGCCAAAATCGGGAAAGCGATCATCTCCTCCTGCCCAATGATATTCTCAAGCTTAACGGAGAAAGACCTCCGGTTA